CAATTTGTTTTGTAATGGAATTTGTTTGGCGGATCTTTAGTTTTATATAACGAGGACATTAATTAAGAAGTATTTATACTAACCAATCAAATAAATGATTCATATATAGGTACTATAGAATATAAATAAGAAATTAAAATAGATATACATACTTAATTTTATTTTTATTAAATATTAGCTGATACAACAAAAATTTTCCGGCTTATATATATACCTATAAGTTTTTTCAGTAAAACCATAATCTAAATATTATGAAAGAAAAAATAAAAAAAACAAGGTAGCCAATTTTCAATTATGCAATTGCTACGGAAATCATTTCATTTTTAATATAAATAATATTTAAAAAAATAAAGAAATTTGGTGATGATAATTATTTTTCTTAGATTAGATTTTTGTTACTTACATAAAGTGAAAAATTAGGAAATATTTATAAGTAATTTATTTAATACTTATTAATTCATATAAAATTAATACATTTTAAATTATTTTGATACAAATTAAATAATAAAAATCCTTTATATTGACATTAATTAATTAGTTAATTACCTATTTAAATTGACCACATTATTGTCGAATCAATTAAACAATTATGTTTGTACGCATGCGCCACGTCTAATGGATTATATGAAGACAATAATTGATGTCATTCGGAGTATATTTTCCCGGAAGTTCTTTTTGAACCATCTAAATATATATGTAATGTGCTATCAAATAAATATAAATTAATTAACCAATTTATTCGTAGTACCTTTAAAATGTATACCTATAATTGAAATTGTCATTGGTATTAACTATAAAATAGGTATTCGTTGTACAGAAAATTGTACGCTAGGATAAAAATAATAAAATACTATTTCTGTAAAATATTAGAGTAGGTACTTTGTGGGAAAGCAATGTTGTATCGTCCCATTATATCAAAGTACAAGCACTCGGCTCGATTTCATGAACTATGTCCGCGTCATTAGGGCCGCGATCCACTCACTCATTAGCAACATTTTCACATAAAACGTTGTTCATTTACGCGGAGTAAACCTACCGCGTCAATTATAAACAGTTATTTCAGTGAGCCCGTCTCACTCATAATTGCAGTGTTTAGCTGTCACCCATTTAGTGAGAGATGTCGATCCGAGCTTATTTTTTATATCACCTTCAAAGGAAACCATTAAAAATACGCCAAATTCATCCGAGTACAGTTCGAAATTGCACCGCGTTAAATAACATCAGATTCCATTCAATTTCACTGCAAAGTAATTGAGATAACATCAGTTGTTACCTTATTAAATTTGATTCGAGAAAAATTCGCGCTTGTTTCGTTAATTTCGGAGGCGCGATGCGACGCTATTACCATTTAGAGCGATTTTCAGTTAAACAGTGTATCTCACCTTGCGTAAACCGCGCCGCCACGCGCGTCCCCACGTTAATCGCCCTTATTATGCGCAGTCAAATTTTACGAGCGCATCGGTTGATAGCCGCTACTAACAAAATGAACCGACTCAAATTAAACCTCTATTACCTATGGGCAAACTTGATTTTTCTATGCGACGTCATCGCACGCGGTCAGTTGCCCTATTAGTGATAGTAATCCTGCATTGAAATCCATCTTCAGTGCAAGGAATCAGAATTTGACGTTAACGATTCCGCAACGCACCGCAAATATAATGCTCGTGGCCAAATTTGACGCATTGATGAACAGAATTTACATAATGATTACACTGGCGCCTGGCGACCAACCCAAACGTCCGGTCGAGCGGCGCACCGCTTTTCTCGGTTTTCGAACCGAAATTCTAGTTAGCGAACGCGCGATTTCTTTTTAAAGTGCTTAACAAGATCTCGTTTGGGTTGTTTTTCATGCCGCGTAGCTTTTGTGAACGGCGAGCTGTTAAAAAATAAACGACCGCTTTGTTTCTCGGGTAGTCAGCCGACCTCCGACGCGGTCCCTACGTTTTTATGCCCCCTTATAATCTGTGTATTACCTACGTGTAGGTATCTACGTTTTTTTATGACTGCGCGGTCAGTTCTTCAATGGGATAAGGAATTCAATCGGGCCACTTTATTGTTAATCTTAATAACTTGCTATAAAGTTTTTAATTTAAATAAAAAAAAAATGTATATTTTAATATCAAGATATATAGTTGATATTGATATGTAATTGGGACGTTACGAAATACTTTTTTATACTTACAGTAAAATACTTTGTCATGGACATAAGTAAAGAAAACCTTTTTATAGTTTTTGGCTACAAAGCCTTATCTGTGACCCCTTATCTCAATTGTACAGTTCCCAAGCGTATCCGAAGAGTCCAGTTTCTCAAGGAAATATTTGTCTCAGAATGACTCTACGTCTTTTACGATCTGACCTGTTATATTTTTTTTTCGTTGAACTTTTGACGGCGGTCGCGCGGTTGCTTTTGACCGGCGCACTAATAAAATATTATGATCGTGTGTTTAACGCGAGTCGGACCTTCCTTTGGACATGATCGTTATTGCCGGTACACCTTTGCGGTCGCCTTTTGTAATCCCACATACAACATTATTATTGTGTCAATTATAGAGCAATATAAACTCTATAACTAAATCACTGCTAGTTATATTCTTTTAACGATTCGTTTTATGCGAAACGACTTCAGTGATTGTCTGACTGGTGAGATGAAAGATACATTGCTCCCTTTCTAATACGGGGGGCGTGTGGTAATCGGTATCAATTCGCAAGGTCTAGTTAAATAATAAGCGGTGCAGCGCCCTATAACTATAATTTTGTTTTATTTGACCGCCGCGCAAGCCGCGGGCTAAGGAGCGAAATCACCACGAAACTGGCTAACAAGATGCGGGATAAAAAAATGCACGCATACATTTGCGCTAATTGTGTGAGTATATTGATGAATTTGACTTTGGGATCTTTCGTTCCCACACGAGAGTACAGTCGGTGACTTAAATTTAATATAGAATTTAAATGTACAAAATCATATTAAATTGTGAATAGAATATTTTTCTAATTGCAATAGAAACCGTCATGATTTATTATATAATTGACGATTTTGATATAGTGACAGATTGATATTGCTTCACCTTCCAAAGGTAAAATGGCTCCCAAACAGTACATTAAAATTATTTTCTAAATTTATATTCACAAAAAACTGTCAATGTAACAGATTTGAATCTAGATGGCGCTGTGTGATACGTCCAAGAGCATTTATGTTTCAAAAAAGTTGAATATCAAATATTCGCAACTGACAAGTTGTAACAATTTAAGTAATTTTATTATCAGCTCAAATTTCGTATATCTAGTTTAGAGTCATATTAGATAAATAATAATATTATGATATTTTTCAACTTGAAACACAACCATCGTATATTTAAAAAGAATTTAATGCAAAACATATGTTCTACAACTGATTACACTTACGAATATCTCAAAACATTATCACATTAGTCATATGAATGAGTAGGCATAGGTAAGAGTTAGTGAATCATACATTAAGTAAAAAATACTAACCAAACTGTGAGTAATATTAAATAACTGAAGTAGTGCCAATAATCCATGTTTATATTTGTTTTCTTAGTTTTGACAATTTAAAATAAATCAAGAGACAAATACCAAAAAAAATGTAAATATATATAAATATTTTCTTTGAAGACATAACATATTTACGATTTCATTAGTACACGCACACATAACTAATAATTTAAATTTAGAAATAAATCTACTCTAATTTGGATATAAATAATAAAATGTACACGAAAATAAATATTAAGTTAATTAGTGTTTAAAAACGAGAAAATGAAAGTTTTATGAAGACAATGGTTAAAAAAATCAAAATTTTCTTACTTACATGCCATATAATGTTGTGAGGTTAATACATTTTATTACAAGGCAAATACAATAAAATTAAAAAAATTAAATCAATAACAAAGAATATACATTAGAATTTGAATTGTATTGAACTTGACACAATTTTAGGACTCCGCCCATATAAGGGTCGATTATAATTCGCGTAATAAAGGCGGTAAGGCCGTAATTGTTCTAGCAAACCTATTACGGATGATCTAATTAAAATTGTAATTTAAAAGAATCTAAATAGTCTAACAATATTTACCGAAGAATGAACGTGCGTGCACATGATATATTACAAACTTAAGAAAAAAAAAAAAACAATAGTGAAGCACCGAGTGGCGGTTAATCGAAAGTCATTTATCCGCATCAATTCAATCGTAGTGTAGTGAAGTAACGATGTATTCGATATCGGAAGAATGTCCGCTTCGTTGTCGGCCAACTGTTAAATCATACTGCATTAGTGATTCACATAGGTTCGCTGGACAATTAGCAAAGGCTGTCCACCTCTGAGCTCCGATGTTTTTATTCATCGGATGTTCAACGATTACCATAATCGATAGCATCGCGCGTGCCGCATACGGAACAAGTGGCTCTCCGTTTTCATTGATGAGATGCATCGTAAAGTACAATGGTAATTCAGAAAATTCGTTGTCACTTTTCACAAAATATAGCCTTAATTCCAATAATATTTTGAAGTGACGTCAAAAAGAAGAAAGTTCTTAATTCGCTTATATATTTTTTTCTGTATTGTCTTCACCACTCTAAATAGATTTTGAAAAATCTTTTAATATTATTACAGTTTAATTCCATATAAATTACGGCGAATTCGATACCTAATCAAATAAGACGTTTAACATTTCTTTTCTTGTGTATAGAAAGACACATTTTGCTGAGACACATATTCGTAAAGTATAAACTGATTTTGAAGCTGGTTGTATTTTTTATGTTGCTTATATATTTATTTTATTTTACACTTTATTGCACCAAGTAAAAAGAGAAATAACAAATATAGTAAATATTAATGAGAAGTGATACAAAAGATATATAATATGTATATTAATTGAAATTCGTATTTTTAATTATCAAATCATGATATTAATAATACTGCTAATTGGCTACATGCCAAATTGTACCTAGCGACTGTGTCATTAAAGAGTATTTTTGTTTAGGATACGTCAACGTCTGCGCAGTCGCGTGCTTGCTGCTCCTCGTGGGGAGTTGGTCACCGGGGTCGTCGGCGGCGCCGTACAAGAGTCGCAATATGGAACGACAGAAGCGCGCATCAGAAGAAGAAAACCCATTATGGGGAAACCCTTGCGTATACGGTTCAACAATTGTAAGTTTTAAAAGTTTTATACAATATAAGAGACACGCCTCGGCTTCACATGGGCAAATACAAAGATCTTTATTTTCATAAAGTAAAATACAACTCATGTCACTTGCTAAATATAGATTTCTATATATGAAAGAATTTTTAACCTCAATTTATTTGAATTTATCCATTACAAATAAAAATTAATTATTTACTTTTTCAAATATTTTAATATTAACAGCTTTTCCCGCAACTTTGTGTGACCCAAATATGTTAATAGAACTAGATAAAAGCTAACCTATGATCTTCTCCATCCAATATACTACGTGTGTGGCAAATTTAATGACGATTAGTTTAGCCGTTAAGAGGCCAAGAGGTAAAGAACAAACAGACAAACAAACTCAAGTTGACATTTAATATATTTTTAACTATTATAAATATGAAGCCAGTTTGCTACCTACTTAATATATACTTAAGAATGATATAATATATTTAAGATAAATTAGTTGCACCCACAAGAGGAAACTCTTAAATAAAGTAAGAGAATGTACTTAAGGTATTTTCGAATATATCGGAATATATTCATTTAAATTAACGATATTATTAAGAATTATGTTGTACCTATATAATACAAATTTAAATAACATAATAGCAATGGTAATGTAATTAGATTAGATTTTGTATTAATTCAGTTTTTTTTTTGTAACAAATAATAGCATAAAAGTTGATTATTCATCTGACAGAAATTAGAAACCGTCATAGAGGCTTCCAAATAAATTGTTTGTATCTCTGCTCCACACTTGGCAAAAACACACTGTTGTTAAGTAGTGCTATGCTTGCTAGGATGAGCTTCATCTTTTAGATGAGGATCAGTTTTAGGAGATTTCCAAGATGGAAAATATATGACAGTAAAATCACGGGATGCTGAGACATAATATCTTAGTTATTAGGAATGACAACACACGAAACAAACGACATAAATTCACCGTCATGACCTATTACAATATATAATACGATGGTACACACCAAACGGAAACAAAAAATTCTACCATATAACTTTTTGTCACTCAAGAAAAGGTCATCAACCTCTCTTTCCGTATTAATAGTAGGAATTGTAATGCGGATATTGGCTGCTAGCAAATTAAATCCATTGTCGGTTTTTAAATAACTCTGATAATTTAATTTTTTTTTTGTAACAATTTTAATAATTATAAATTCATAATTATGTATTTGGTGTATTTGATATCTAATATAACTGAAATACATAAATGTTTTTTTTGCAATTTATTTTATATAATATTATTGATTATTGTTAACTTTGATTATTTTCTTTAATTCCAGTCAAAAACAGAATACGAGCCGAAATTCGCGGAGAACTTGGCCCGTCATGCTAAATATGTATTTGAAGAAACGCTGAAATATAAAGATGAATTTGTAAGTACACCTAATCAATTTTTGTCATGTGTTTTCATCCGCGAACTGCGAATTTGCCGCTTTCATTGATCGATTCATTCACTGCGACAAACGAGTAGTATTCGCACATCGTTATGCCCGCCGCGTCACTCAAATGAACGGACGAGGCTCGATTCCAATACCAATAAAAGTAAACCTAACGCATACCTTAGGACTCATAACTAAAATTGTATTATACAAATATATATTTGTAATATAATAATACGCGCTTTAGTACAAATAAACTGGTCCAATTGATTATTGCCTAATTAATAATTTAACATTTTCTAAAATATCAAAATACGCGATTATCAATGCAAATGTCTCATTTATACCTTTTTTGGTAGATAGTTAGACTTACGATAATATATCTTAGGCACTATAGTAGATTACTTCACAAGATTTAGATGTGTGTAGGTATTTTTTTTACTTTTATAAATAAATGCAACTTTTCACTCTTTCTTAAATTAAAAACTACTACATAAATATTATGTCCTGTGACAATAAAAATTAAAGCATATCGTCATACAATAAATTATAATAAAACTAATCGTTATTACATTTTATATATACAAAATTTAAAATCATTAATGATTCCATCGGTTGCATCCATGTGATGGCATCGTTTTCTCGCCAAGTGGAAGAAAGATTGCATCGGCGCAGGCGCCGCGTCTACTCGGCACGTCCGGCCGCAAAAGCCGCTTCCTCCCTTTTAATTATAATTTTGCGTATATTTTTTTGCAAAGCTATACAAATATCCAAACATTATTTAAAATTCTATACATTTGACAATTGATAAGTTATTCTGTGATTTTTTACACTGCTGTTTTTTTATCTGAGCTGAACTAAAATACTGGTACAGATACTAATTAGGAAGAAATAATCCATTATACAATACAGACGTGTCAACCTACATTTGAGAATTCGTAAAACATTCACGAATTATAAGAAACAAACGTTTGGCATGTTAATACAATGATCCATGTGACGCTCCTATGTTTCCAATACCAGGAATATGATATTTCCGAATCGGAAGTAAGGTGGACCGATCAACCAGCAATAATGCTATGTCGATGTCGCGTCTCGAATCATTTATGGAGAAGGTTTTACTATCGTACTCGTTAGTTACATCTCGCACTCAAGTGTAACGTACCTATTCCGTGCGCAGTAGACAGAGCATACCAATTATCTGGTGTCGCGTAGTCAATGGACACGGAACAATGAATGAGAATAATTCTCGATGCGTCCAGTTATCGAACATGGTGTTCGCGTATGAGGTATGGTGGCATTGTAATAGTCGTCGGTCGTAACGACGGCGACGTCCTGTCCGCTCACCATCGCCTCGTAAAACGACATTATCGACTTACAGTAGCCGGAACGAGGTACAGGACGGTGCGCGTACGCGTCGAATATTGATTGCGCATTAGTATTGCGCGACACACCTGCCCGATGATTTTTTTTCTGTCTCTCCCCTTAATGTCGGTCATTCGTTACTAATGTATCATATTTATTGCGATTTAGGTAGAGCCGCGAGTCGATGAACCGTTGTTGTTATAGTCAAGGACGTTACTCCTTTGTCTGAAGCGTTACCTTGTTTCTGCGTCTAGTTCGCACCGCCCTCACTAAAATGATTTATATCGTCAAGTTAGATCGAGATAAACGCGCAACAGGAAAAGAAACAGTCGCCGTATCATAACATAAATAAAAAGACAATATCCGAATTAGTTGGGCCGTCGTTTATGTCGTCAGGCCATTCCGTGTGTATAATAACTGGACGCGTTACTAAGAATGCAATAATAAATTCAACGAACTCTACCGGTATGTGTGACTTGCCACCGGGCACCGTGTGAATGTCTCTTAACACTCATACTTTTTAGTACGCTGCTATAGTGTGGTATCGCATTTTGAATTACGAAATATTCTTTTACAATATGCTGAAAATGTTTGCAATTATAATAATTAGCGCACAATTCGCAATGTAATCTGGTGAAGGCATGCGTGTTTATCGCGACGTGCTGCACGTCGCGTCACTTCGCACACTCGTATCTCTTATCTTTCCTATAATGACGCTATAAACATTGAATTACACATAGTATATGCGATATGTACATACTTAGTACGATATCGTTGTTCACTGGCGACAGGCTGTCTGCGCCGTTGGGTGCGAACGTGTGCCGTAAATACATCATTTGCCGCGCATGTATGTGTGCGTGTTTATTTGATAAGCTTCCGATGCGAGCTAGACATTCGGATGCTATGTCGTCAAATTTCTTTACAAATAGCCCACCCTTACTCGATTCAACTCGAATAATCGATTCTCCTAAACGAGTAATCAATCCCACCAATATTTATCGCCACGGCTTTCAGAATTTATTCTGATCAGATTATTTCTATCGAGAAAACAAGCTTTTGTATCTAATATGTTTAAAAAATATTATATTTATTTATATATATATTATTTATAAATAGTGCATTTCTTATATTTTGCGGAAAAATACATCAGCTTAGGACTTAGCGATTGGTAGGTATGGACGTAATTTAACAAAAGTAGGAATGCAAATAAAGATTATTTATTAACTGAATACAAATATGATTAGGTTATTAAGACAGTATTGCTTAGTCAATAATTGGAAGTTTTAATGGTGAGATATAATAGTGAAATTACTGGAATATTGTCTTAGCCCTCAGGAAAGGTAAGACACCAGGAATACTATAGGCAGAATGTATTTTTTGATGACAATAGTGCTGTTCTTGTGTGACGGTTAATATTTTCGCACCAAATCTGGTTCAGAATTAGTAATCTTAACAGATAAATAGATAGCGATTACATATAATGTTTATATAAATTATAATATGTCATCAATTAAAATTTTTATTATCCAAAATATTCGTCAAAATTAAAACAATAAGTATACAAATAATATGTAAATATTTTTTTGTAATTATTTTTAATTAAATAATAAAATAATACAATATATAATTAAATATAAACTAATTAAATTAAAATAAAGTAATTAATAAGAAATTGAATTAATAGTATAAAATTACGGATAATAGTTATTATTCGTACTTTTATCGTACGTTTATTAGATTAGTTCTAATATCCCAATTTATTTAGGTATTGAGGGCTTCCAGTGGCATTTTTAGGTAGTAAAATAGACAGACGCGAATTCTAGGAAATCTACTGTTTACACAAGGTACTCGCTATTATTAGGTGTAGGTTTCGGATATGGCGATGGACCGGACGCGCACCTGTGTCACGGCTACAACAGCGCATTCCATCTCTCGATTATTATGATTATCAAAGCATATTTCATGATTAATTATGAACAATGTATTCACTGCTTTAAAAATGATTTGTATATTGCTTCACATACGAGTTTGAGATTAAAATCATTCATGTCTTTAGGTCACGTTTATCACTTTCCATCAGATGTACCATCAGTTTATTTTTCAAGTTAATAAATTTATAATTAATAAATCTATAAATCTGCTAATATTATAAAAACTTTATAATACTTATTCTTTCGATATTAGATCATGCCTAAATAAATTTGAATGAATGAATGATAAATAGATAGACCATAATCTAGATAATAAACATAAAGTAAACATAAAATACTCTTATCTCTGATTTATATAAATAAATAAATGATTTGATGATGATGTTTATAACAAAGTCATGAAAAGTAGTTAATATACGGATAAAATATTTTAATATTGAATATTTTGTGTTATGACAAACAGTTTTATAGAATTAAAATCAGATTGATGAATAAATAAATGTAATGCCAATCATAGTGCATAGTTTGATTAAAGAAAAGGTTAAAGGATAATGATGATGATCTTGACTGTTTGGTGATTTATTGTGATGAAGGTTAGGAATATTGAGATTCTATGTTATTATTATTATATATTGAAATTATATATTTGACTTCGTAGTTCTTTGAAACGAGTGTCATTTTTAGATTTTTGACATTTTAGTGTATGAAATGTAAATTAGGATTTAGCAAATACAGTATTCAGATAAGAATTTGATAATGATGGAAGCCTATGGTAATTTTATTGACAGATTGACAATAAGGATACATGATAGATTTTTGGTCAATATTCCATTACAGACAAAAATGAAAATACATTTTATCAATAAATTGGCAATTATAACTACATCCCTTTATCACATTATTTGTACAAAGGATGTCACAACCTGAATTGATTTAATTAATCGGTCTTGAAATATTGTTAACCAAACAAAGATCAATTGTGAAAAATATTACACAATATGAATTTTCGGTACTTTATCGCTGTTTGGAAGCACGTTTTAATTAGTCGTATTGTTGTATAACGATTTATAAGGGACATTCTACAACTACGAAGTTGCATCTGCCACAGTCATTTGAACGTGATTATTTTGAACTTTATGTTCTAGTATCAAAGATTGCTTTTTATATGGACTGTCTTAGGTAGTGTCAATTTTAAATTGAAAACGGTTCGGTTATATGACATATCGTCGGCGACTAAACGCCATTGGACTCATCTTGCATACAACCTTGATTTTGCCATCAAAATTGTTCAATATCTGTGCAGGTGTTGATTACTAAATGCATTGATTTCATTTTACAAATGGCATAATGCAAATTTATTTTGATAGTTTCAAAATAATATGGGAGATTGTATTGTCAATCAAATATATTAATATTTATGTAATGTTATCAATTTATTTATGTAGGATAACTTTTCGTTTCTTACTAACATTGCCAATATTGGTCCGCAAAAATAAATCAACGTGGAAGATTTTTTAAATGATAGTAACATGTGTTAAGTATCCAATTTGTTGGAGCCCTTTCATGTTTTGAAGAAAGCTATTAATTACGTAATTTTTACTAGTTACTTTAAACCTAATTATATTTTGTATATATAGCTATAAGGTTGATGATAGAGGACCAAATTGTATTTCACCATCTCATCGTGTATATTATGTACCTATTAATTGCAAAATAAAGTGATCGATTGATTGATTCTTATTTCGTAGATACCAGTACATTCTACTCCAAATATTGAAACTTACAACATAAACGTGTAAACACGAACAAGTAGATTATGCGTAACAAGCAAGATTCCCATAAAGAAAAACGGAAAGTTTAATAGCCACAAAATTAATATGGGATCAATGAAGTCTATCAAGTACAATATGAGTTCAAATCCGTTTAAAAATTAACACATATATTATAAACATAAAACGAAACAAATTTAGAACCTCGTTCTTTTGTCTTTTAAAAATACCATTAACAATATGAATATGTTCCAACTTGTTAATATTTTATTATAATCTTTGTTATTTTTTAGAAACCCTAAATAACTTCTCCCGCTTATTTAGTTATACAAGACCGTAGATATTGTATCGACTATGAAGTATGGTCTACCTGTATGGAAAACAAAGCGGTCAATACACGTGATCATCTAATTGAGAGGTAGTAGTTTAATGGTCTGATTGCACTCATAACAACCAGAATAAAATGAACTGCACAGTACTATTTACATTTAACTATCAGCAGACCAAATAACGTTGGTTTGTTATCTTTTATATTTGCAACTAGTTCGTAGAAGGATTCCATCTGTCGTGTTTTAATTCACTTTACTTATATTCCAAATTGTTGTAAATATATATACTACTTATATTTATATTTCTTTTTGTATACATATTTATAATTAAGAATAGCATATAATATTATATTCCTTGCGCAAACACTGCTTTAATTATATTTTGTTTTTATTACGCTCGTGTCATGTTTAATTTAATTAGTTTTTCTTTCTTTTACTATTTAATGAAAGAAATATTAAGTATATGTTCTAAATGAAACAGAATATTATTTATCTGTTAATTTTTCATAATTATATATTAAGAAAATTCACCGACAGTCAACCGTAGACAGCTACATTAATCTAATTGGAATTGACGTTAAAAGCCAAGATAAATTATTGCTTTTATAGTTTTAATGATATTTAAAAATAAAATAAAGTAGTATTTACCTTAGCTCTTGGGAAAAAAACCGTGGGGAAACCCAAAAGAGCATAGTGTGTTTCAGTAATTATTAATACATTATATTGCACTTCATATGAGAATATAGATAAAATAATATGAGACGACAGTTGCCTGTATCAATGTATTCACTGTGAAGGAGTTTGTATTCCCTACCTTTTATATACTCGTAAGTTCATCCAGGAAATTGCACAAGTCCACTTTCCGTTGAGTTTTTCTATGGAAGTCAATCAACACAATATACCTGGTACATTCTATTTTCATCATTCAGAGAAATAAACGGTACATCTGTAAGGCTGATTCATGATCGCTTGATACAGTTAAATCGTTGCATCTTATCCTATATTATCCTATATATTACTAGTAGTAATAGTTCTACGAATATTTATTGAATGGTAATATTCAAATCTCTTTATTACTATAACTTAGGTGGAATAAGAATTAAAACGTTTTAGGTATCTTAAATTTTTGTAATAAAATAATTTGTAACAAAAATAGTCTGCTTGTATCACTTCCCTACGCGTATATTTGTCGTATACTTGTATGAGAAATTTGACTGTATTTTGATTTGATGCATATGATGATATAGCATTGAAGAAAGGAAGATATGCCTTTCTTCAATGCTTAATCCCATCCATCAGGTATGTCAACACATGACAGATAACAAGATCGTCATAGTATATTTTGTGTCTAGATATTATTCGTAACAGTTAGTACTTTCTAAACTGAATTTCTAGTTAATAAAACTGTAACGAGACCGTTACTGTAAGGAATAATATTTTTGAAATTATATTAATAAATATATATAAGTATGTACTTAGATATGAAAATAATAATAACTAAATTATTATAGGTAATAATTTAAAATGAAAACCAGGAAATTTGAAATAAATAAAATAAATTATTTGACGCGTTCCCACATCTGTTTTGCATTTTCGCCCTTTTTTATCTTAACAAGTTTTCGTAATCAACATTTGTAATAATGAAAATTAAACTAACCAAATACAATTAATTTTATTTCTGATATGTAATGTTTGACGTATATTGCCTTAGCGATTTATCTAAATACGTTTACAACGATATTATGTCGGTTATCGATATACTGATTTGTAATTGATAAGCGATAACAATAATTAGTACTTGTTTTGAAGTATAACGAGTGAAGTCCAAGCGATTGAATCGATCATTCATTTCAAATTCATGACTTAAATTTACTGAAATATGAATCACAGGAAAAGGAACTGAGTAACTTTTCCAACCGATTAACCACTTCCTCAAACTGATATCTTACTAATTATATTTATTTATTGTATTCATGTTATTAAATTATACACATATTTGTTTTAATTTCATCATATAATTTTTATTTATACATTAACCGTTATTTAAAATTAATGTTTAATAATATTTAATTAATTAAAATTAAAAATATATTAATTAATGTCTTTTTTTGTTGCAGGTTAAGCTGTATAGTTACGATACCTTTGATTCATTTTATAATCAGATGAATAATAAAAATGATGACTGGCTTCGGAACTTTCCTTGGCATCTTGATGACATTATGCCCAAAAACAAAGTCCTGTACAAATCTTTAGATGAGGCTGATTTGGAAGAATTGATGGTAAGTTTCTTTTACTATAAATCTTTTATATCTTACAAAACATTACAGTTTAATATAATAATACCGTGGATAATTAAAATGTATTAAAGTGCTTAATTTTGTAATGTTATTCACTGAATTTACGTGACATAACATCTACTAAGCATATATATATTTTTATACAACTTAGAATGGCAAAGAAGCTGACGGCCCATTTGATGGAAAGTAGTAACCGTCGCCTGTAGACATGAGCAGTACCATGGACATAATTTCAGTGTATCATAACTAAGATATACTATATAATATATACGATATCCTTAACATATGGGAGAATACCGAAATTAAATTGACCGAAATAGAATGTATTCTGAAATAACTTGTAAAGGTTTTGTAGTGGGTGGATGATTAAAGATGAAGTCTCAGATTCCTTTCAATGTATAAGAAATATGCATGCAAGCTGGCTATTAGAAAAAGACAGATAACCTTAGCATACTAATCTTAGTGGAACTTACCATCCTAAAACCGTCAGTATCCCCCAAGTGACTTTTTTTTGTTTTGATGGATGAAAATGGTATGGTAACCCCGCCTGCGGGTGATAGATGAGAATGAAAACAGGCCAGTTAGCCCACCCCGAGTGACTTTAGGGGCTTTGCTTCTCAAAGGAAACCTTATCGTCTATAAATTTTTTACAAGAATAGTATTATTCAATGTCAGTTTTTTGGCGGCTGATTAGAATCTTCAAAAGCAAATTTAAAGATAATTTTCTTTATGTATAATAAAATTCGTATTTTACCATTAATGTATTGTATCTATTCGGTCCCACTCCTGAGCAAGGCAAAGGCCATTTAACAAACGACAAAAACGTCGAAAGTTCCCAATATATACACATTAGTAAGGATGCCACTTTGTTTAATTATATCTCGAGAATGTCAAACTGATCGTTGTTTCCTAAATGAGAACAATAAGCGAGGGGCGGCGAATTCGCTGATTGTCAAAAACGTGCATCCGTATGTGTTTTTCAATCGATTTCAAGGAATCAACTCCGTCGGTGGTTTTCATTGTTGTCGGCCGACTATCGCTTACATGAGAACACAATTGTTTCGCAATATGTGACTCTTAATCGTACATGTAATCTGGTAATATCGGATAAGAAAACGCAAATTGGTACAACCCAATTCAATTTTCCGATCCACGTGTATTCTTTAATTTATCAATGAGGTAAATCTTTGAATGCATATTTATGATTTTTATTTCGTTATTTACAGAAACACATAGATGACGTGCTACCTTACATGTACAAGAGCTTGAAGATGGTCGTCGCCGGGTTTCACATGATCGCTGAGAACCTTATTAATGACAATATCGCTGCGGACGCGAATCTCGCTAAAAACATCAAGGACACCGTACTCAAACTGAGCAAAGTGCTGTGTCTCTTTTTTGTAAGTATCTATAAGTACTTTTATATTTAGTAATATTTTAAATATTTCAATTTAATAATAAAAAATCTTTTACAACGGCATCTTATTTGGGACGTGTATTTCTAAATCATTGCGGTTTTTCAATAAAATTACTGAAATTGAAATGGTAGAAAATTTAACTATTATGTTTTTACAACCTATTTTTAATTTATAATATTAATATTATCTATTGTTACAACCTACTTTTAATTTATAATATTAACATTTTAAAATTTTCTTGTGTCATTAACATTTTTTGGTAATCTTACTATTATTGTATTATTTTGAAATTATCACGGTACCCATATTTTATAAATATTAACGAAATGTTTTCTTTCATTCCAGGATATGATCACGTCTCGTGACCTAAAAGTTTTACCACTACTGAACAACGAAATCCCGGTCATCAATGATTCAAATATATTGAAAAACGCGTTCCCAATTTACCGGGATACACTTAATTATCTGGAATACCTAAGCCAGGTTTTCCAGACGATGTCCAAGACTGATCTTACTCAATCAGCTTAAAGAATAAACTTTGGTTGTGTTTGTGTTACTTCGTAAGACCACTAACGTTTGAGGACCGGATGTTTTTAAACTGAACATTTTCGCAAATAAACGTGCATTAAATTAAAAAGTGATTCTTATTTACATTGTACTTCAATTAATGTTCATTAAATATGTTCTTATGATATTATTTGTAATCTGTATTCTATAACATAGGTGCCTAAATTATATTTGATAACAATGTATTGTCACATAAGGCGTGTTCACACTTCAATTTTTATAGTCTATTATCGTATTGACATTTTCGCAATTAATTTATGTTATAATTTTTACTGATTCACGTAATATTCCTATGTAATTGTTAAAACAATGAGATGATATTAACATGTGTACAAGATATGACAATACAAATCATCTAATGGCATTCTGTCGTTCCTCATTCATCATCAGTTGGTCCTAATGAGCTGCTATGTTGCATTTGGCTGTATAATTAATGTATTAGAAACAATGTTATTGCCATTACATTGCCATTTTGGTCTAGAACGGAATAGTTCCTTTTATTTTATGTAAATAGTGACGAATTTAAATGGTATTTAATTTATTATCTGCTTATTAACATTCTAAATTTCCCGATTATCCTAGTCAAGGTCATAACTTATTTATTTCTCGCTATAACTCACTTAGTTTGATTTACTTTATTATTGATATTATTTAATATAGATTTTTAGTATTAGTGACCATTCCACCAGATAATAATGATTGAGATTGTCGGCGTTAGTAAATTGTTGAGTGTATTTTGTGTATGCGTCAGTGCATGAATCATGCCGGTTGTATGTACTTTTGTATGATAGATACTCGTGTGAGTACCATCACATGCGCACGGTTGCGCAGGAGTTTCGACGAATGCTTAATTGTACATTTTATTCCTACCTTAATTAGTATTATTTGACACTTTGTTAACTATTTATATTACTGTTAAATCCAATGAATAAATAGAATAGCTTTAATGGAGCTGTTAATTATTATTGTAAAATACAGAGCCAGTGTATTTATTCATTAAACATTATTTGTATAGTTCAAATAATACTTATTTATAACTGGACAAACATAATTGCTATGTTTGTGAAATTAAATTATTATTACATTTACATGTTGTTTTTTATTGCTTTCTATTAATAAATGTACCTTTCCTTTATTCTACACTAGCTATTAATCATGACTATATCTGCCATAATTAGGATAATGATTATTCTGTTTATTAATCTAAGGTATTTTAGAGCTGTATACCAAATATTATATTATTAATCCAGCTGGTTAATTGTAAATGTGTACGAAGCTTCTAAATATTTTTACAAACCTATAATATAGTTGGATATGCAAATATAATGTGAGGTATGGGCAGCAGCTTTCCTTTTATCATCAAAACCGATCTGCGGTTGCCAACCTGGCTGCCAAGAGTGGCAATTACTGGCCCCCCCATAGGAGTGGCCTATATTCAGTAGTGGACAGGTAATAGTTGAGATGATGATGATGATGATACAAACATAATAATTAAAATTTTTTTATCATACAGGATGTATATAACTAAATATTTAACGATATTTATCCATTTTGAGAGTGAAACTAAATGAAAAAATGAAAACATTATTTGAACCTATAAGCAGATTACTCAACATAATTAAAATAATAATATGGCTATATGTAAGATTAGAAACGTTTCTCGAGAAGAGCTAGTTCAGTTTCATAAACAGGTAGGTACTATGACTAGATTTAGAGTCTTTTTCCATTTCATACATAATTTACACTCGAAATCCTGATACGTGAATAGTTATAGAAATTAGCAAAGAGAAGGCAATAAAAGTTTTATTGCCTTTTTATTACCAACACGTTTGTACTTACTTGAATAATCGAAAAATATCGAGAATGCATGAAGTGCAGATCCAAAATTACCTTTGTTCTCTTCTATTGGGGAAAACTGAGTTATATTGCTATATATACTATATATAGCAATATATGATACAGTTTCTATAGTATAAATATGAAATACAAGCGAAATGTACGATTATATACTTACTCAAGTTTTTTATGCAATTTAGAATAGCAAATAAGGATGGCCCACATGATGGAAAGTGGTAGTCGCCTATAGACACGAATCAGAATATACTATGTCATCCATGATACCTTTCATACATTGTTATTCCTGAAGAATAAGGTATTATGTCCCTGTACAGTGTAAATAAAAATATCAAAATTTATCTCCGTTCAGTTGGCAAGAGTATTTATTAAACATATATGTAATATAAAATTACTTTAAGTGTTTTATATAAGCGTATCTGTTTTATAGGTACATTTTGGTAATATGAAAATCACAAAGGTATATGAAAATGTACAAAGGTACATTTTCATATACCTGTATAAAAATGTATAAAAATATAAAGGAAACACTCATATATAATTATAATATTAAAATTAAAAAGATTTTCCGAGAGATGGTAGTAGGCCCTCACTACGTTATTTTTCAATCATCATCAGTTACCATGCTGGGGTTTTTTTTTTATTGTGGCCCCCTTTAGGAGCATGCTTTTTCCCGGATATTAAGTTCTAGGTTATGCATCTATTACTTTTAATTATTTAGCTAGTTTCCTTAGTTTTCTTCCTTTCCATCCATTTTTTCATTCCGTTTATACTTCATTTCCTGTCAGTTCTATTTATTTCTTAGTAGAGTTCCTAATTCCTTTGTTCATAGGTTTTCCGGTAGTCGTTGGACCACAATCCTTTGGCGTTGACGTTTATACGTCACCCTACCATGCTGGGTTTAAAACATATATTATTAGAATAATGCATTCTTGGCAAGGAATAATCGTTTCGTATGAAATAAGTTAACATTCTCTCGTTGGGGAATAGGGATTGGTAGCAATATAATCTTTACCAATTTAAGGCAAATATGAATAGGTTATTCGTGGGACTGCGAGTTCCATTTTAGACCACATTATCGTTTTCTATCAGGTGAGATCATGATCCATCGCGGGACTCTTCAATATATTACTTACTTACCTTTACTTATCATCTCTTTGCCATCATAAAACATAAAATAAAAGTATGGGTGTAGCAACAATTTCATTTTCCTCTTAATAAAAGACTTTTATACATTGGAGAGGCAGTGTAATATACTCACGAGAATAATTCCTTATTAATAATTCTAATAAAAGTATTTGCCAACTACTGTCATTGTGATAAATTAAAAAAGGAAGAAAATAGAATATAATTATTCAGGTAAACATGCAACTCACTAAATAACACAACATTTTTAATTTTTATTTATTTTATTTATATATTTGATATTACAAATAACATTATTTACACCATATATTACTACACTATAATTGCAATCTATTAAAAGTTATTTATAAAATACTTATTTCTAAAAAAAACAATTTGGTTTTATACATGGAAAGTATAGCTGTAGACATACTTATGGCCAAAAGAAGGTCAGATCTGTATTATGGTAAAAATATTATAAATAAAAAAAATAATATACATAGATATTATTAATGGGCAGTATACCACTAGAATACTAACAAAAGAAGAATAAGAAGAGTAATCCTGTAACTGATCACTACTTCACGCTAGACAATGCCTAGTATTTTCATTAGCGTGAAAGTGTTGGTGACTCACAGCTCATTACGATTCCTCGTCGTGAGAATGGCAAGCTCAACATCCGTCGTTCGGGAATTTCCTCTCCTTCCGGAGCAAACTTGACACAAATTGCACACTAAATGGATATTGCATATTCATACGACTATGTTTTTGACGTGTGATTTCATTTCACCTAGTTTAATGTAAGCGACGCTATCTTAAAATATTTTTGTGCATTGCAACATTCATCTTAACAAACAAAACGATCTCTGTGTTGTTTTTGCGGTACGAGTACCTCAAACGGCGAACAATATAAGACGCATGTAATTTTTTTTATACCACAAAGGTGACAAACAAGCATATAGCCTCTCTGATGGTAAACGGCCTATAATACTAGGGGAGTAACGTGCGCGTTGCCGCCCCTGAAAAAATCTTAATATACTTACTCTTTTTGAAGAACCCCATATTATTGAAATATTAAATTCTTATAATAAACATACACACATATTAATTAAAATACAATAAGTATTTAATTGAAAGAAAAATCAAAATTTTTCCTCCTAACAAGGAAGAATTGACGAATAACAATTTATTTGGTACTATATTTTCAATTAATATTGAAGAGTTATTTTAAATTTTAATGTACTTAGGAAATCATAAAAATTACAGATGGTTTTTTATGAGATTTGAGTTTGTAAATAATGTAGTAAACAGGAGCTAGATAAATGTAAATAAATTTAGTAACGTCGATTTTAAGATAACAGTAAAAAAAATTAATAAATAAATATTTAAGATATATGTGCGCATAATAATTTAGTACATAAATAAATAATAATAATTAATAATTTAGATTGTAGGCAATGCTATTTAATCGACAAAGTCGTTAACTCGTGTGTAACGAGTGAATCGAGTCTGTTACGCCAATTTACCGATGACCAATTCTACTTTGCCAGGGGTTATCATTCGATGTCTGAAATAAATGTATTTAATATATTTCATTAGTTTTTCTACTTCCAAAAACCACACTTACGAAGTAGAGGGCAAAAATGTAGTTAAAAATAAATAAAATAGGATTTTTTTATGTTATTTAAGTTAAAAATAGACTCTAAAGATATTTTCAGTAAGTTACAGTTACAGTAAGGTAAAGTTTTAACAGTAAAAATATTTAAAGTATAAAGAATACATGTAATATAAAGAATTGTCTGTATTTTTATTGACACTCTTAATCCGTTTATGTATTTTTGAACATCTTATATTTTGACGCATTATTAATATATATGGACTTGTACATGAGTTTCCCAATACCTACATAAATTTATTCAACGTGTACACAGCTTTATAAAAACTGAAATCATGTATTACAAAGAATACACAATAGTATATCTGCATAATGAAGTAATACTGGTAATAGTTGCGGAAAATCCACACTGAAAAACGAACCAATGTTTGGTGACACCTGAAGAAAGGCACGCGTGTATTTCCTGTCACAATTTCGTGACCGCCATCGTCATGCTTAAGATAATAGGACTTATGTCAATATACTATGTGAGGGCGCTTACGTCCTTTTATGTTTACCAAATACGAGGTCAAGTCTGGTGCGAACGGATCGTGTGTGACCTTTAACGTAAAGATAATTGCTTACAATCACTGGTACTAAATCCCGTCTGAGGCTGATTTAAATTGGACTATACTGATAGTGTCAAATTTCAGTCTGCGCCTATCTGATGACAAACGTCTTTAAATATGATCATAATAATAAAAACATAAAAAATTTGTATCGAACTAAAGTTAAGTTTCTCCTCTTTATCTTCTTCGTATATTTTGAATTTATACAATGTTTTATAAAAAAAAATACATTTATTTTAAGAATAATAAAACAAATTTTAATTTCATAATGATAAAAACAAATTAAACAAAACACTTATATTATCTTGAATTTTAATCCACATCAAATTAGCATTAATACATCTTCAATTGTAGCAACGAGAACATAATTTTTTTTCCTACCCTTTTGTGTTACACCGATGAATATATTCTAAGTACAATAAAATAAATTTAATAAAAATAGTATCATCATCTCAGCTATTATCTGACCAATTCTGAACGTAACATAAACTGCTATAAGGAATGGTCCTTCCAAAACCACTCAAAAAAAATAGTATCTAATAACAAAAATAGTATAAAATTCTAATAAATACAATTAAAATATGATTTAAACTACTTTTTATTTGAACTAACTCTCTTCTTATTGAAAAGTGACTCTTTTTCCTTGCATTTACTAGGTATTTTGTTTTTCTAGGTATACCTAGAAAAACAAAATTAAATTTAAATTAAACTAAATTAAAAGCATATATAGGTTAACTATAGTTAACCGGCTTTTAATTTAAATTACAATAAACAGTAAACATGCCGTGAAAGTAACATTCCAGTTTTCAGTACACAATGACGCTTCAACTATTATATAATACCGCGACACAAATATGCACAATTGGAATTTAGATTAAAACAATAT